TACAAAAGAAAATTGGTTCTGTTCCTTTCTAGAGCAGAAAGCAGTGAACAGACTGCACTATGCCAGGAGTCCCCACCCCTATCGCTTGATTTTCCCTTTTGACTAGGCTTTTTTCTGCTCCTCAGTCATTGCACAAGAGATCTATGCTTGGCTTTACTAGTGCTTTTATTTTTACCTGGAAGCAGATATGGTCATCTCCAGATCTTACTGGCACAAGCTGTGCTGGCTCATGAGAGTGTTTTCTTCTGGTCCAAATTGCTCCAACAAGGTTGCTGTTAGCTTTGCTATAGAAAAAAAAATACAGGATCAGTACAGACCAGGAAAATAACATGGAGGGAAAGGGTTAAACATCACCTTCCCCAGCATCTCTACTGTGATTACATTCCAAACCTCTTGTAGGAAAAAAAATTAAACACATTGGGAGATACATTCATGTGTAGATCAACCATAGCTAGTGTCTTCAAATGTTCAGGCTAGGAGGCTAGATGTGGCTTTCCAAAACTCAAATTATGCCTGAAAAATCTACTGACACTTTCTGTCTGAATAATCCTGCCACATATCTACATAATTCTAGTCATTTCTTAGCTACACAGGATCTCTCTGTCTGTCTGTTATACTGCAGGTTAGTATGCAACAACATATATGAACAATGCAGCCAGTTGTTTTTCTGCTGTTGGATGGAGGGACTAGTTATATTGTCTGGATTGTTGTTTATACTGTGTTTAACAGGAAGAAATATATTTTTGTCTTGTCCGAAGCAGAAAATTTCTGTGTATTTAGTACAGAAGTTGACATTTTTTGGTGCTTAAAAACCACAGGTAATTAAAGTGATTGCTATCTTTGCTGAGCTAAAATTAAAACCGAGAGCGAGTAATACATTTCTAGGGTAAATGATCTTATGTGCATGTATAATTAATTTTCATAGCTTTAAAAGCTTGATTGTAGAGTACATCGGAGCCCCAGATAATTCAGAAAAAAACTAAGTGCAGTTGATTTAAACCTTGTTGTTAAACACTTATAATTTGGGCACATATTCTAGTTTTGTACCTTTGGTTATTTTTGTTATCTGTCCATGCATTCTGCCATGTAAATAAACCATTGATTTCTACACAATTGCAGCCTTTAAACATATTTCAAAGATACACATGATCAGATCTGCATTTGTTTTTTTTTGGTAAACAAACTTTTTTATTTTTTTCCATAGGAACTTAACATCCAACAATATTCATTTTCATTTTCCCTTTGTTTACCCCGTTCCCCTTACCTCCCCTTCCTCCCGTGGCTTCCCGCAATGCATCCACCCTTCCACCCACATTGTAATACATCATCAGTTATATCATTTTTCTTATAGCTACTATTTCCAGATAACATCAATTATCCTAATATTGTTCTAAACATATTAAATTTTGTTTTACATCCCAGTTCTTTTCCAGATATTTTTTAAAGTCACTCCATTCTTCTAAAAATATGTCGTCTTCCTTATTACTCAGTTTTTTTGTAATTTTATCCATTTCAGCCATGAACAGAACTTTTTGTATCCAGTCTTCGATCTCTGGTACTTTTTCATTTTTCCAAAATTGTGCATAAATCATTCTTGCTGTTGTTATTAAGTACCAGAGTAAAGTTTTTTTCGTCGTGTTGACTTCTTCCATTTTAAGTCCCAAAAGCAGAATTTCAGGCGCTTTTTTAAAAGAGCATTTCAGTATCTTTTGCATTTCACTGTGGACCTTTGTCCAATAGTCCACAGCTTTTTCACATGTCCACCACATGTGATAAAATGAGCCCTCATGTTTTTTACACTTCATTTCAGTATCTTTTGCATTTCACTGTGGACCTTTGTCCAATAGTCCACAGCTTTTTCACATGTCCACCACATGTGATAGAATGAGCCCTCATGTTTTTTACACTTCCAACATTTGTTTGACATATTCTGGTTCATATTTGCAATTTTCTTAGGGGTCATGTACCACCTATACATCATTTTATAACAGTTTTCTTTAACATTGGTACAGCCCGATATTTTAATGGAGTTTTTCCACAAATATTCCCAGGTTTCAATATCAATTTCTTTATTCATATTAATAGCCCATTTTATCATCTGCTCTTTAACTGTTTCCTCCTCTG